GTTTGTTCATATTTTTTCTTCCTTCATTAGGTCCTTTGTTCGTTTGTTCGTCTTTTGTTCCTTTATTCGTTCCTTTGTTGCTTCGAACTTACTTACTTAGGGGCCAATCACACGGAATGCGATTTTTGCGTTAAGAGGTGCCTTTTTTTGACTGACTTACTAATGGCCACGAGCCTTTGCACCCTGTGCACCTCACATTTTAACCGTTTGCTACGCCTTGCAACTTTGCCATTGCGCACTGTGCACTTACAGTTGAAAAAAGTCAACTTTGAGCGGAAAAAGCGTATTACGCTAGTTGCGTCTTTTCCAATCAATTGAAAGCATAGGCGAAGTTTTTGTTGAGGTGACTGCAGTGTTTGCATTGTTAAGACAACTTTTGAAGATAAAGGAGAGACTTGTGGTTGCTGTTTTGAGTTATCGGGTGCTGTGTGACTTCACAAATCTTGAATATCACAATAATACTAAATATTAAATTATACCAATATCAACAGCAACTATCTTGCACAATATGCAGCTGATTCAGTCATTGCCTAGCGACATAAAATACGCATCGTGCTTCTTTTTATGCCAACAAAAAGGCATTGTTGTGCGCCTGGCATTTTAGGGTCGTAAAAGCGTGTTCGGTGTGATCGGCCCCTTAGTTTGTTCAGTCATTCCTTGAATCCTTCCTTCATTAGTTTGGTCCTTCCTTCCTTCCTTCGCTCAGTCCTTCTTCATTCAGCCCTTCCTTCCATTCTTCATTTGTTCCATTTAGTGATTGTTTAAGACTGTTTGGTGATTTCAGTTATCATACAGTCAACATCCTTCATTTTCTCATCAGTGACGTAGTCTATAAAATGTCTCTCGATCATTGCGTGTAAAGACTTTAGACATCTTCTTGGACAATTTGAATGCTTCCAAAAGGTTTGGTGCGTTTATAAAGTGCTCATGTGTTGAGGTCGTTCAGTATGATGCGATTTACTTTACATGTGTGATTTGATTGGGCAGGAATCACAGGACTGATTTTTCTACTTTAACCAATCACCATAGACAAGAAAGAAATAAAGTAATGACTGCAGGTTGAACGAAAGTAGTGGAGTAAAAGTACCAATACAGCTCTAAATATATACTAAAGCAAAAGTAAAAGTACGCATTTTTAAAACTACTTGGCAAAATACAATTTCTGAGAAAAAACTACTCAGTTACAGTAATTTGAGTGTTTGTAATTTGTTACTTTACACACTGCGTAGTACTGCCCACTAATTTTGAATAGAATCACATGACATTTGTATACTATCAACAAAACTGCACATACAGCATTGTGGGCTTTCGTAGTAAACAAATAGCATATCTGTTGTTTTTGGTTAAATCAAAGCTCTGGAAACTATTTAAAGAAAGGTCCTTTGGAGAAATTGAAATGTTTTATATTATGTTTCTATAGAGCGTCCTCATTTTGGAACTTTTATGCTTAAAGCAGCTTTTTTATTATTCTTATTTTGTTTAAATGCATGTTATATGTATGTATATTAAAGAAGGGAACGCATAGTGCTGAGTATGTGGAAGCAGTTCTCCATTGCTGCTATATTAATGAAAGCGGATGGGATGAGGGGTGTCTAACATTGAGTCTCTTCCCTATTAATTCCTTGTAGCAGAAGAGAAGTGAGATGGAGATGTGGTCTTTTGACTTTTCCATGCACAGCACATTAGATTTCTTGTGGAAAAAGTACAAGTGAAACTGTCCTCACCTGACCTGAGTAAAACTGGTTGTTTAATGAAGTACAAAGCAGACAATTGGGATCCGCCGTGGTTTTTACCAAAGTTTTTTTTCTTTTTAAACCAGGAACAAAGCGATGTTATTTGGCGTTAGGAATGGCAAAGAGGAAATAAGGCAATTTAAATGAGATTAACTCGCAGCTGTTGTCCAGTCATGGTTCCCTTTGAGGAGGTGTTGTTTCAGGTGAGAAAAGCTTTACAGGTTGACCCAAGCCTGGTGCATGATCTTCTTCGAGAGCTCCACGAGGCCAACGTCTTCTCCACCCAGTATTACCAGTCTCTCTATAAGGACGGTGAAGTTGCTGAGGAGAGTTTGTGTGAAGTCCTCTGTACAGATGAAGATTTGGATCGAAAACTGTCTTTACTTGTCTGGCAAAACTGGGACGTTAGCCAAGATATCCTCCATTCAACACTCAACAAACAGGAGGATCTTGTTTCTACTGGTGAGTTAATATCTTTAAATACTTTTAATTACACTTTAGATAAGGAGGGTTCCGTAACTGTAACTACATGTCAAGTAACAGTTGAAGTGTTAGTAGAATAGAGATAGAGTGTCTGCTTAAAGACTTTCAAAGTTTATTTGTCAACCCAACCGTCTACTAATACTACTGTATGTAAAATGTGCAAGGAAGGATAAATAATATTTTTTGATAAGAAACTGAGGAGAAACTTTTTTTTGATGTAGTACTTAATTATAGCCATATAAAAATAAGAATTTGTTCTCTTGGAGTCAACGCAAATGATTAAA